ACCAGAACTCTTGCACAAAATACTACTGCTTGTTGTTGTGATGTCCCTTCCAGTTGACTCGGACTTAAGGCGACCCTATTGCAGAGTTTTCTTGGCAAGATTTATTCAGAGGAGGTTCGCCATTGCCTTCCTTGGAGGCTGAGAGAGGATGATTTGTTCAAGGATATGCATCGGTTTCCATGTCCTTTAACATTTCACAGAGGAAGATGAGGACACATATGGCCAAGCAAGTTCAGTGGTCCAACCCTTGGGCTCCTGTCACTCACCTTAATAATAATAATAATAATGATAAATGTTATTTATATACCGCCCGGTGGCAAACCAATCTAGGCGATTTACAAGGCTAAAATACATACAACTTAAAAAACTTGCCCCCTTTGCCCCTCAAGATCCCTCCCCAGATCGGACTTAAGATGATCCCTCTTACAGACAAGTGGCTGTGTCAATCGGTGGATTCAACGTGATCAGTGACCAGTCTCCTTATCCTTAAATAGAACAGTTAGTTGTAGAAAATAAGCAAATGATTACATGAGAAAGTGCATTCACAAGAAACTCCTGAACTTTTTCCTCATTCAGGGCTCCCAAAACCCTACTCAGATCTTCCCTCTATTTGTAGCATTACATCTTTTCTTTCTCTGGCTCCTATCTGCCTCTTTAGGAGACGAGCCTCTAGTTTGCATCCTTCTCCACCATAGACCCACCTCTGGGAACGATAGTTCCCAGATTTCTATAGCATTGAGCCATGGCACTTAAAATGGTGTCAAACCAGATTATTTCTGCAGTACCGATACAGCCTTAGTCCTGCACTGGCAACCCTAAGTGTGGGATGTACTTCCAAACAAACTTAACATAAGGTTTCTGGCTAGTCTCAGAAAGAGTACAGGCTCAGAACTGTAATAACAACAGAGTTACGTGAATTCACATCCATTAGGTTATCACCCCAGGATGCAATTTGAGAAACCAGACGTGAAGAGTTATTTAAAAACCAACCTTGTACTTGCTTCTCATTGTCTTTGAAGTTGCTTTATATATATTTACTGACCACTCACCGAAAGAACATCAAGGCTAAATAAATGCTCAAGACGGTTGAACATTAATTAATGAACATACACCACTACTAAAGCAAATCTTGTAAGAGACTCAAACCTCTTTGAAGACCATGAATTCTGACATTGAAACTCTAAAATACAAATCCCAGGGCTAGTCTCCACATAAGTGGATTATGTGCATTGCTGCAGATTTTTGCACATTTGCATCAATGGTTGATTTTCTCAACTTTTCTGTGTAAATTTGCATCGATTTGCACCTATTCACCCTCTCTATTAAAAATGCACAGCCATCTGAATCCATACAAAGCAGATGACCAGCCACACATGCAATAATGCACATTTCTGAGATTCCCATGGATACTCTGGTAAAAACCACAACGCCTTTTTTCTGTGGAGTTTAAGGATATTTTTTTTTTTTGGAGGAGTGGGTTAAAAAGCCCAAATTCCTGCGAATTGCTTGTGGTTGGATCACATTCTATTTGACTGGAATGAAGGATATTTTGGGTGTCTGTGGCTAGTGATGCTTTCTGCACATATTCAGAGGCAACTACTTCATTTATTCCAAAACTCAGACGCATCTAAAACTGTGTGATAGACCAAAATTTATCCTTCAAGCTGATATTAAATTTTGTGGAGACTACCAAGCAATTTTTATTTAGGACTAATTTATTGCAGAAATTCAAATGCTCTTGGATTTTGAAGATTTTTTAAAAGAAAAAAAATACAAATTATGGATTTAGCCAAAGTTTTGACTAATCTTGAAAATGTTAAGATTTAAGTCTGTTAAAAGTATCACTGTTGTGTATCGAATCTGAAAATGCCTGGAATTCAGAGGCTCAGTCTGAACTATAAAAAGGCTGCCAGTCTTTTAAAACCTGTGTGCCAGGTCATTTCTATTCTTTTTAACAAGTGCTGCCTTCCCTGAACTAAGAAAGCCTGCTGAATTTCTGCCTGAATGTACCTATTAAAAGACATGGGAACCCTCTAAGCATTTAGGAAAAGCCAAAAAACCTCCCAGACTCTTGGCACTAGAAAGAGAGAAAATTTCTAGAGGCAACTTCTAGTCTCTACTTAAGCCTTGATCCTTTTAAAATATTGAAAGACTTTTTATTAATTCTGTTTTTGCTTGCTGAAATTAAGCCTTTGAGAGGCACAACTTGCAACGTTCATCACCGTATCCAGCCTACCATAATATACACTTTCTATTAGTTAGAAAAGGAGCCAATGTGGCATAGTAGTTTGAGTGTTGGACTATGACTCTGGAGACTGGGGTTCAATTTCCATCTCGGCCATGAAATTCACTGGCTGACCTTGGGCAAGTCACACTCTCTCAGCCTCAGGGGAAGGCAAAGGCAAACCCTCCTCTGAACAAATCTTGCCAAGAAAACCCCATGATAGGGTTGTCATAAGTCAGAAACAACTAGAAGGTGCACAACAACAACTATTAGTTAGAAAATACTAGGTAGGGATGTAAGGGACAGTGACAAAAGCTGACAGGTGGGGAATCCAATAATTTGAAATCAAGGACCCATTCACACTACAGAATTATAGTTCTATGACTCCACTTTAAGCCCCATGGTTGCAACACAGGGAATCCTGGGGTCTGGAGTCTAAAGAGAAGCATTGAGACTCCTCAACCAGAGATTTCTAGTGCCTCCTCAGACTCCAGACCCTGGGGATTCCATAGAAGTTAAAGTGGAACAATAGTGCTATAACTCTGTAGTGTGGATGGGCCTCTGCT